ATATATGCACCTAATTTCAAAATAATTATTGAGCATTTGGGACATAGCCCAGTAGTACAATGCTTGCCTAGAATATACAAGACTCTGGGTCCCCAGAATAGAAAAAAAGAATTATTATGGTAAGCTTTCTAATTAGTTGTTTACTCTGTAAGAAGAAAACTAAAAGAATTACAAAGAATATTAGGCTTCCTTATAAATTTTAGTGTAGATTTCCATACTAGAAGAAAAATATAGGTTTGGAAAGAGGTTCTGAAATTTAAAATGTATTTTTTATATCTGAAGACATCTAGTATATTATTTTTACTAGGAGTCAGCACATTAAATCTGGCTAACTACCTGACTGGTATGGGTCAAAAACTAAGAATGGCTGCTATATTCTTAAATGGCTTTTTAAAATAAAACAGAGTAATATTTTGCATCATGTGAAGATTACATGAAATTCAAATTTTAGTAGTCATAGTTTTATTTAAACACATATTATCTATAGCTGCCTTTGCACTACAGCAGCAGAACTCAGTAATGACAACTCAATTTGCCAGGCAAAAAGCTTTTGATTTTTATGCAGTCAAATTTATCAACATTTTCATGGCTTTGAGTTATGATTTTAAAAGATTTTCTCTGCCATAAAAAAATTTAAAATTCTGGTTTCCTCAGTTTTGTATATGTACCTATTTGTATTATATATACGTATTTTATTCATATACAAATATGTATTCTAAGATCAAAAAAAGCTTCAGATAACACTGAAACCTCATTTGGTATTTTTATTAATAATTAGCAGGCTTATTAGCGTCATTATTTTGAAATTTTTTACATAAATTATAGAATAAAGCAAATCAGTAATTACATCAATGTTTTTAGGAACCAAATTTCAATCTAAGAAAAAAAGAGAAACATAAAATCAAGGAGATTAGGTAAAATCCTTGAAACATCATATCTGATCAATATGACCTTATTTTTAAAAATTATTTCTTATGTCACCCAATATTGCAATAAAGAAATTAGACATTTTTTAGTCATTTCCCCTGGTGTCAATGTGTAACACTGAAAGGTTAGATCCCCAATTTCACAATGGATATTATTACAAAAATTAAAGAGAAGCCTCAGCTTGCTGATGGACTAAATTTTTATATTCTTATTTATTTAGCCAGAATCTTTTGACTACATATGTTAAAACTAATATACATACAATTTCCCTTATAGGTTATATTTTATAGCTCTGGTTTTGAACCATGGCTTTATAAAATAACATAAACTTGTAAAATTTATAGAGAATAAGTATTCTCACTCAGAGTTCTTAAAAGGAGATACAATTAATATATAAATCTTTTGCTATAGTAAGAATGTCTATTATTTGGCTGAAATGGAGAATGTATGCATATATAATAAAGCCTTATAAAGAGTAAACAAAATTAGATTTCTTAGTTCTGAAGAGCCTAGAAGTAATGACAGGACCTATATTTATGAGCACTTCTGTCTCCCAGATGAGTGACCCTCATTAAAAGGATCAAGGAATCCTTTAAAAATTCATGAAATTTCTTTCATAGACTAAAGGAATGATATCAGAATATAGGATCAAAAGTGGGCACAATTTGAGCATTAAAAAGAAAAAATGACTATAACCAATTAAATACTTTAAATATGAAAATCTTTTCATTTACCATGATGCTCAAGAAAGAGCTGGGTGTGATGCTGCATGCCTATAATCATAGCAGTCTGAGAGGCTGAGGCAGGAAGATCACAAGTCTGAGACCAGCCTGAGCAAGTTAGTGATTTAGCAAGACCCTGCCTCAAAAAATATAAAGAAAATAGAAAGAGCTGGTGATGTAGCTCAGTGAAAGGCCTTTGGTGCAATTCCCAATGCCATAAATAAATAAGAAAATAAATAAGAACCTTTCCCCAAAGGGAGAAAATATTATTTTCATTTACTGTCATTATTAGTAGAAAAGTACATAAGTAGATACACATATATACAATATTCTTAAATTAATTAAAAGAGAAATATTTATACTGTCCTACTTGTAGGAAGCACATTTACATGTAATCAAATACATAGCATCTAAGTAATATTTATTTCAGGAGTTCTATGAAAATTCAATGTTAGGGATACATAAATAAAATTTTTCATTTAATGAACCTAAGATGAAAATCAAATGATTGTCTCTGTAGGTGTTGAAAAGGCATCTGACAAAGTCAACAATAAGTCTTGATTTTTACAAAGCATGCTACAAGACAAAAATTACTGTTTTTCAGTACTGAAGACCAGATCTAGGGCCTAGCACATGCCAGGCAACCAATATTACTGAGCCATATCCTCTACCCAAGGAAGTTTTTATTGTGATAAAATGTTTTTCACATCCAAATAGAGTAAGACTAAATATATAAGAGAAACTGCTATTGGAAAGCAGTGACACAAAAAGCATTTGCACTAGTAAACAGGATTAGAATGCCCATATCACCACTGTTATTTAACATTGTATTTGAAATAATAACCAATACAATTAGGTGAGAAAAAGATGTTAGAGGTATAAAAACTGAAAAGAAGGAAAATTATTATTTTCAGACAATATGGTTGTTTCCCTAAGAAATCAGTTAAATCAATTAAGAGACTCCAACAAGGTAGCAGCACACAAAATCATGTAGAAAGTAATAGCTTTTGGCCTGTGGTGGTACACACCTGTAGTCCCAGCACTCTAAAGGCTGAGGTAAGAGGATCATGAGTTTGAGGCAAGCCTGAGTTACATAGTGAGTTTAAGTCCAGCAGTAACTACATAGTGAGACCCTATCTCAGAAAATTTCTTCAGACTACATCTAGACAGATGAAAAAAAATCTGACTCACAATAGCAGAAAAGTATTATAAAATAACTAGTATTAACCCTGACAAGAGAGATGCAAAACCTACACAAAAATTTAAGACAACATTGATGGATCCAAAACAAGAGAAGTTTGTCATTATTAAAGATTTTCATTTCCCAAGTTAATTAATATAGTTTTTTATTAGGGGTGTGTGTGTGTGTGTGTGTGTGTGTGTGTGTGTGTGTGATGCTGGGTATCAAACCCAGGACCTTGTGCTCACTAGTAAAGTTAGAGAAGTGCTTGAGCACTATATCATCAGTTTCTGTAAAAATTTCTCTAAGGAGTTAGGTGTCCTAGCTATTTCTCTTTGCTGGGATGAAATACCCAAGTCTGGCAAGTTAAGGAGGAAAGGTTTATTTTGACTTACAGTTTGGAAAGCTTCAGTTCATAGTTGCCTGACCCCATGTTTGTGTGTCAGAATGTTATCATTTATATCTAGATTTTCCCCCAAAGCTTCATGTACTCATGGGTGGGGTTTGCAGAGGTGACTGGGTCATGGGGTGTGATACTCATCAGTGGGTTAGTCCACTGATGAGTTTATAGCTGAGTGTGATGTTGGAAGGTAAATGCAAGTTGGAGTGTGGGGTGGCCTGGAAAAGTACATTTCTTTACTCCTCCCTTGATTGTCTCTGCTTCCTGCTTGCCATGTCATGAGTAATTTTCCTCTGCCATGTTTCTTTGCCATGCTGCCCTAAGAAAGTAACCAAGATATCAGGCAAGAAAGTAACCTGTATATGCCTGTAATCCCAGCACTCTATGAGGCTGAGGCAGGAGGACTGCACTGCAAGTTCAAGGCCAGCCTGGGCAATTCAGTGACTTAGTGAGACTCTGTCTCAAAAAAACTTTTGAAAGAGGCTAGAGATGGAGCTCAGGGCAGATGTCCTGGGTTTAATATCCAGCACCACAAAATTTTTTTTAAATCTTCCTAAATATTTGTTTTGGATTTCTTTTCCCACATGATTTTCCTGAAGCATACAATTTAATCCAAAAGTTTACTTTAAAAAGTAAATACACTAGATTAGCAGGAGACATCAGGAAAAAATAGTGACCATCAGCACTGTCAGATTAATCAAAATATACTTAACAACCTCAAGAATTAATGTCTGCCACTAGTGAAGCTTAATAATAGAAGTTCATCTCAAATCAGTGGGACCACTAAGTAGCCATTTTGAAAAAGGTGCATCCAGGGGCTGGGGGTTTAGCTCAGCGGCATAAGCACCTGCCTTGCAAGCAGGCGGTCGTGAGTTCGATCCCCGGTACCGATAAAAATGAAAAAGACAAAAAAAAAAAAAAAAAAAAAAAAAAAGAAAAAGGTGCATCCATATCTAGCATATTACATTAGGACGAATTCCAAGTGGATCAATATTTAAAATAAAAATTAAAATCATAATACTTCCAGAAGAAAATACTTTGAAATATAACATTGATTTAAAATCTAGATGTCATAAGTTAAATTCACTACATAGAAATAAAAAATCTTCTGCCTTACAAAAGATACAAATGGAAAATGGGGACTATCTGTGATTCTTGTTATACGTTTTTTTGTAAAAGGAAAAAATAAGAATTTGCATTTGTTGTTAGATACATAAAGATACTCTGTAAAGATGCACAGAAAACTAAGAACAGTAATTACTTATATCAGAGTACAGTAGTAGGTGGATGATGAATAAGAACAGGAGGAAACTTTTTACTGTGTAACTTCTTATGTATTTTGTTTTTAAGCCAGGTGAATATACTGTCTACATGGAAAGTAAAAGTTCTGGAAAGTCTCAACTGTCACACAGTTTACTTTCTGGTGTAGGCAGAGAAAATAAATACAAAAGAAAATATACAGAGCTGGGGTGTAAGTTAGTAGTTACTAACTTACTTGAGGGCTTGCCTGGCCTATGTGAAAAAAAGGAAGAAATATGAACTTGGAATCATAGAGAGACAAATCTATGAATACAAAGAACTTATTTATTATAGTTCATTAGTTTTAACATTTTCTTTAAAAAGAAAAGTGAAGTACACAACAGTAGCTTGATTAATACTTTCTGAAAAATTATAAAATCACTTCTTTTAAACACTGCTTGTGCTCACATTATTGTTCTATCAACTTTTCAATGTCAGGATATAGGTTAATTGAAAATATAATAAATTGTACCTGTTGCAGATAGTGTCAGGAACATGTATCTTCAGGTTTTCTGTGACCTCTCTCATCACCTTCTGGTATCCAGACATTCCCGGGTCTTTGATATAATTAGGATTGTTTCTCATTAAGCATTCTCCCAAATGTATAATTGGATCAAATTTAGTTGGATGAGCAGCTTCAGTCAAAAGCTTCTTTTCTCGTTGTGCTAACGTTTTTTCCATTGCAAGAACTAAGGTGGGTAGAAGTTTGTCAAGCAAATATGTACGAGTACTCAGAGTCACGCTTTCAGTATTAAACCATTCTTTGGCCAAATTATCCCTGGGGAAGAGTTTTTCAGATTTTTTTTCTAATTCCTTCTTCAGATTATCCTTATCTAATATTTTCTGTTGCAGTGCCTGGGCTCTTGCCTCTATTCTTTCGAAAAGATTTTTCCTCCATGCTTGTTCTAGCTTTGATTTCTGTTCAGTTTCCTCTAAATTAAAAGTCACTCTTGCAGGTTTTCTAAATACCATATTCCCTAGGACTTCAGTGCTCAAGTCCATCATCACATTTTTTGAGCTTTTCAGTTGCTCCTCCAGATTTAATTCTGAGGAGAAAAGAAGAAATGTGAGAAATATTAGATTTTAATATATATGACCCTGAAATATTATTTCAAAGTTTTTATACCCATTTACATGGTATATTAGAGTACCTGCAAATAGCTGAGTGCCACAAAGTGTAACAACAGTCATTTGAACCATAAAGATATTTACTCTTGACTTAATCAGAAGTCATTCAGCAACACATCCTTGATTTCCTTAAGTACCTAGACTATTTGTTTTGTTATTCATTCATTTTTTGCACTTGTGCTTTATGATCACAAATGGCATATACAGAGATCGCTTCTGACAATAAAGGTTTGGGGAAAAGGAACTTCCTCCTCTTGGAGGTCCGTTTTATTATTTAAGAGAATATGAAATTCGTTTGTCCAAAGACTTCCCTTCATATTTCACTAGTAATACAAATCATAATACATAGCAGGGGCTGGGAATTTAGCTCAGTGGTTCAAGCACTTGCTTGATACCTATTCCAAGACCAATCACTGGCAAAGGAAAATGCTACTACTATGAATAACATTTTTCCTTGATTTTGAGGGTTACACCAGGTTTCTTTGAAATCAAGTAATTTCTAGATGCTACAGAATACATAGCATGCAAACATAGGAATATATGCCTTTTATAAGCAGTTAAGCATCCACCGTATATGTATATTTAAAAAAATTTCTTTCCATACTTGTATTTCCAGCCTCTCTCATGTTTTCATTTTTTAAATGCAGGACAGAAATTTGGACCAAGACGGTGAACCAAGAATACCTGTCTATATCTTTTCCCTACCAAAACTCTCCAGAAATGACTGGAGAGATTATATGGTATTCTTTAAATATATGCGTACAAATTCTGGACATTGTGAAGTATTTAGAAATTTTGAGAGTCTCTGAAAAATACAAGGGGTTTCCTTGATTAAAGCAACTAAAGGACTAAAAAAATACAGCAGAGGACCACTGCAAAATTTGGGAGCATCTTTGAGGCATTCCAAGTTTAGAGGACATGGATATAGAGGAATTATTGACCTTTTTGTACATTTTCATTCCTATTTATGCTAATTAATACATCCCAGCACATCCACTTCTTGCAATGGGACAAGGGTTATGGAGGTTTGACCTAGAGTGGCAGGATTTCCACACACTCAGAAAATGAATTATTAACAATCTTCACTCAGCAATCACTGGCAACAGACTACAGAAAACAGAAACTTCATTCACAGAAAAGAAAACAGGAAATCTCTGATGCAGATTTAAACACACATATTTAAGACACAAAGACTATTTAAGAAAAACCATCTCCAGAAATAAATTCAATAAGTGCAATAGCTAATACCACTCAAGAAAATGTCATTAGTAGAACAAATATAAGGAGACACTAAATTATAATTAACATTCTCCAAGCACATGAAGTAGAAGAAATAAGAATAATATTATGAATGATATTTTGAAAAACTAAGCTTGAATACCCAGTATTCAAACACTACTTCTAATATTCTTCAATTTTAAAAACAGGGCTTCTTAGAGGCATGAGTGATTCAGGAATATAACTTTTTAGACACAGATTATATCTGCCTATGTATTTTCTTTGCTATGTTGAATTATTAGGCAAGTTCTCATATTTTGATTAAAAATAATCATCAGCTTTAGATTTGTAGAATTCTTATAACTTTTACAACTCAAAAAAGATTTGCCCCTAAGTTTCAGTTTTAAAAATCTGAGAAGGGTTTTAATTGACTTAATATAAAAATATGCCTATTTCTGAATCACTCACTAAGTATTCTGATTGGTCTGATTTGTATCACAACCTATTCCTAGTTCTAGAAGGTAGAGTTAGCTCCATCTAAATAAAATGGGCTTAAGGAGAATGGTGGTTCCCTCAAAGAGATGTTGGGTAGACAAAAAAAGATACACCACTACAAAAGAAGGGGTCAAGCTTTGTGCTTAAGAATTGACTTCAGGGAGGGCAATTTCTGTGATGAAAATAGAACCCAGACTACAGTAGACTTAGAAGTAAAGTGTAGATTTAATGAGTAGACAATTATTTCAAGCAATGTGGCGACTGAGATCTAAAATTTCCCTGAAAGCCTCATATTCAGAGACGGGGCCTGCTTGGAAGGGGTGGGTCACTCTTGGTATGACTTGGAATGGTATATTCTCCTCTCCACTTCTTTTGTTTTCTCTCAGCTTCCTGGCTGAGCAGTTTTCCTCCACCCTGCCCTTTCACCATGCCACTTCTGTCTTGAAGCCCGGTATTGGCTGAAGCTACTGAAACTATGAGCCAAAATAAACCTCTCCTTTAAACTGTAGGTGTTGGGTATTTTTTCTCAGTCATAGGAACAGGAAATTTGACTAACTTAAGAGTTTGGTACCAGGTAAGGGGTTATTGCTGTGTACCTGACTATGTTGCTCAGAAGTTTTTGGAATTTATGGGAGGAGTTTGGAAAGATTTGGAGCACCTAGGACTAGAGAAACCCTAGGATTCTATATGCAGAACTTAATGGAAAATTCTTTTTTTTTATTTTGAAAGTATACAACAGAACAAGTCAAAATAAAGCCAACTAAGATCATACAGTGAAACTGGTACAGAACTTCACAGCAGGTTACCTGGATAACAGTAATAGGTATCACAGTAGATTTTGTTATCTTTATAATAGTTGTTCTTTCAGTCACGTATATCAAAATGAGATGAAATATAGAACACTATAGAACTTATCAAAACAGAATATTGGATAGAGCAGTACCATTAATTAGAAAAGAGCAAAACAGTAATAAAAATATTTGCCTTCAAAGAAATGGTAGAAGCAAGTCCCCCTTATTTGCTATGGTCAACCTGCCAGGAGATGCTCAGATTTCTGGTTCCCATTTGCTAATGGAGTTGGGGGGGAGGGAGGAGGATAGGGGAGGTGGGATATTTGACTCTAGGCTATGTAGCAGTAGGTTCACTACTGCTAAGCAGGGTGGCAGGATGGTCATTTGTTTTCACAGCGTCCTCAGTTCCAACATGGCGTGGATCTCAGGAGACACTGCTGGTTCTCCCCCTGGAAGGGCTGCCAGCCTGCCTCTGCTCACCAGGGAGGGGAGGTGTTTGCTTGGCTTCCTAGAGTCTTAGTTCCAACATGGCATGGATCTCGGAAAATTCTGATTGGAGCTCAAAAGACCAGAATGCTCACAGGAATGTGGCCAGTAAGGTCAAACTCAGGTTTCAGATGGAAATGAGGACCATATTAGAAATGAGTCTGGCAGCCAGATGTGATTTTTTTCTTTGTCTACCCTTTGTCCATGTCCAACATCTTTGTGTGAAGCTTAATTTCAAGGTGGCAGACTGATTGATCTAATGGAGATTTCAAGACAGGTCAATGTTCAGGCCATGCTATGGGAACTATTGGCTGATTTTAGCCAGGTCAGTAGTGAGGATTAGGAGCAAAAAGTGGAAATGAGAGATGTGGAAAATTTTGCTCATGGCCAGTAAGATGCACTTGTAAAGTTGAGACCAAAGAGAGCTTGGTTGCTGAAGAGATTTGTATCATTTAAAAAAGAACTAAAGGGCTTGGAGATGTAGTTCAGTGATATAGCACCTGCCTAGCAAGCACAAGGCCCTGGTTTGATAGTTTTGGTTTTGATAGTACCAAAAAAGAAGGGAAAACAATGCAACTAAGTACTTTGCATAAATACTTTGCATAGAGAAAAGAAAAAAGATAGCTTGAGAGCATTTCAGAAATTAGCAAGACCCCACTCAATGCAGACTCAAGATTCAAAACTATATACCTTTCACTTGAAAAGAGTCTGTAGAATACCTGCTCAAGAAAGGTCACCTAGGGAATTTTTCCCATGAGATTTATCTTACCATGCTCACCCATGCAAGCACTCAGAGGCTGTTGCATCCATGGCTAAAGAGAGTATTGCTCAAGCTGCCAGTACACCTCAACATCATCCATGTGGTGCTGGCTTTTCAGGCATGCAGAATGCAAGGGTTTTGGGGTCACAGAGTCTTCCACTGGTTTTTCAGAGGAAGGCCTGGGAGGCCAGGCAAGGAGTCCTTACAGGCCAGTGCACAAAGCTCTGAGAATGGAGCCAAAGGTCTAATAGAGACTCTGGGAAGTTACAGATGACAGGAACATGAAATGTCTACTGAGGAAGACTGAAGGCAGTGAATGAAGTCAGCATAAGACAGAAGCCATGTGGTTTTCAACTTGCAAGACCATCAAGCTGGGGCCAACCAAGACTTCTGGATAAATATCATCTCATTACCACCTGCCCTGGATGTTGGACATGGAGATGCAAGATTTAATACTTTCCCTACTGGGTATCAATATTGATTTGGTCTAATTTCTTTGTATCCCTCTATTATTCTCTTTTGGAATGGGAATGTTTAATCTGTGAAATGGTTTGTTGGAAGTATTAACTTTCTGTTTTTTCACTGGGGCTCACAGCTAAAAATTTGCCTTGAGTCTCAGAGGAAACTTTGTGCTTGAATTTTTTAGCAATGTTAGAACTGATAAGACTTTGGTGACCCTTAGAGATGAGCCAAATGCATTTTGCATAATGATATACACATGAACCTTTTAGGGTTCAGAAGTGGAATGTTATGATTGAGATCAAAATTTCTTTTGAAAGACTCATCTTTAAAGGTAGAAACTTGTTCCTAATATGTGAACCCTGCCTTCTCACTGTGTTTCTTGGTTGTCATGATATATGCAGCTTTCCACTGGCATGCTCTTCCATCTTGCCATATCTGCTTTGGAGCCATTCCACTTTGGACTGAACCCACTGGACACAATAAGCCAAAAAAACTCCTTCAAACTATGTTATTGAGTATTTTGTTCTAGCAATGGGCAAGCTGATTACAGTTGACTACACAAAGGAAAATTTTTCTTTATTTCTCTATAGAAAAGGATTTCTCACTTCCAGGAGAACATGGTGGACAAATAACAGCAGCCACAGAGGCTCTCTGAGATAACCAGTTTAGAATCCAGGAGCAGTGCTGTGTGAGGAGTTCTATGCGA